AATTCTATGTATGGTACTATTACTGTTAGTAGTACTGTTACAATATGAAGAGACTGAGACAGAGAAATTAATTAACCAGTTTTCGTTAATTTTAGTGCCATAGCTAAATTTTAGTGCTATTTCCACAGTAAATGGAAGAACAGGGATTCTGTAAAGAACTCTTGATGGAAATAAAGTGTCCTAGTTAATGTATCATGTTCAAAACAAGTATTTGAAAGGTGCTTAAAGTTGCTAATTAATTGAAAGTCTACCCTTTTCATTGCAAGTAATTTCTTAGAAATGATTCTTATAGCAGACACTGTAGATCCCAAATGCTGTAAACCTTGAGGTTGTCTCTGGTGAACCTGCCAGGACTAAAAAAGGGAGGATTTCTTCAGTGTTAGGTATTCTAGTCTGTGATTTTAAGTATCATTTCATATAAACTAATACTATTTGCCATATCTTAAAAATCCCTGGTATCTATCTGGGCATGGCGGGCCTGGGTAGCTGTATAAAGTAGTATGAAGAGGAGGTTATTTTGATTTTCTCATGCTTCTCCAGGCAAATCATCTTAGGCATTCGTGATGCTTTCTGGCCACTCAGCTTGGCTGTCCAGGCTGACTGCAGTTCTCCTTGGAGGCCACATCCCTCTTCTCTCAGCCACTGTGCTGAGTACAGCTGCTTAGGTTGAGTTCATATGATGTATTCATAATGCCTGACAGGCAAATTGTGACTACGATGTTTGCATACTGAGTAAAGAACATTCCTCTGTAGGAATGACTCTTTCACAGCAGCATTTCATTGACTTTGAATGGGGATTTTTCAAGACTCCTCAAGTGGCCCTGTTTAGGAATCTGCCTCCTGTGCCTTCCCTTGTTTGAGCTCTTCCCCTCAGCAGTGTGGCATTTGTCCTTTATGTGTGGCCATCTGAATGGCCAACCCTGGGCACCTGATATTAGCTCCTGTCTTCTCCAAGGGAGAGGAAAGTCATGCTGGCAGGATCACTGGTGTCACAGAGGTGGTTTGTCTCAACTCATTTTCCATCTACCACTCTGTGCCCTCATTTGGAACTTCTGTAGAGGTGGTGAGGACAAGGTGTTTTAGACTGTGGAGAGAACATCTTCTCCTGCCATGAGACTTTTATAGGCACATAGAGAGCATTGCTGTTTCTGTGTTGTGCATCCTTTGGCTGCAAGAGCAGTTGAGGTTGTGAGCTAAGGTGTAAACTTTCCTTCACTCAGACACTGCCCTGGTTCCTCACCTCCGCCCCCTCAGGGATTTTCTAGGATGTTGAATGTACAGCTGTGGTTATCCTTTTTTCGTGTTTCAGCAACCAACACTTATAAAGCAACAGAAACTCAAACATCAACAATAAATTTGAACATATTTCTATGGAAAAACACACGTACTACAGGGCTCCCAGCAGCTTTAGTTATCAAATTGAGTTTACTAATTTGAGAAAGTGTTCAGAAGTATGAAGGAGGGAGGTGGTGGGGGAAACTTGTGATAAAACTGTTCTGTATCTTGACTATGGTGGTGGATACACAAACTACACTTGATAAAATTGTATAGAACCACACACACACATACCTGAATATATTTAAACTGGGCAAATCCTATTAATATAGGATTTGGTAATGTATCAGTGTTAGTATTGTGACTGCGATAGTGTACCATAGTTTTTCAAGATGGTACCATTGAGGGGAACTTGATAAGGGCACAAAGGATACCCCTGTACCAGTTTTTAGACTTCTATGGGAATCTACCATCCTTCAAACAAACAAACAAACAAACAAACAAGCAAACAAACAAACAAACAAACAAACACCTTTAAGGCTATTTGTAAGTATAGCATAAAACCACATTATTCTTTATTTTTTCATCTCATTCTTCATTTTTTCATCTCGGTTGTAATCCCCATGGACTTCCCCCCACCAGCTCACCCATGTACCGTCACCATAGTGCCGGGCACTCTTCCCACCCCAGTTTTGATCCTGTTCCCCTTTCTACCCTCCATAAAATGTCTCTGGCTTATAGTTGTTCATTGTTTTTCGTTTTTACTTTATCACAACTGCCCTTTTCCGCCCCCTGATCCCTTACACTCCCGCTATGAGTGAAATCACCTGGTATTTTTCTTTTTCTTTTTGGCTTGTTTCACTAAGCATGATCCCTTCCAGCTCCATCCAAAAACATGTTCTTTTTATAGTAGAAAGTCTTTCAGGTTTAGCCATGTTTTTGGCTACAAAAATGTATATAAAGAAATTTTACCGAAAGATAAAGAAAAAAAGAGCATCCAGCTTTTCTCCTTTAGTAAATGATTGAGAACAAAATGTATGATTAATGAATAATTTAGCTATGGAAAGTTAATGAGCTTAAATGAAATATAACTCACCAATTTCAAATGATTCACAGAAAGTAAAATATATTTAACGCAATCACCTCTAATCCATTATGGAAGGAGAGAAGGTAACAGAAAAAATTGGCATGATACAAGAATAACACATTTATATTTTTAAATTTGGGTTAAATTTTTTTTCAGGATCTGCCAGAGCTAGAAGTATCTGATATATCTCAATAATTACTGTGAAGACAAAAATTTAGAACATACTCTGCATATAAAAAAATTAAGAATCACTGATAATCTGTATCAGCTGTCATCACCCCACAGAATTATTTAAATTTTCTGCAATTTTTGAGCTCCTAAAATGTGTAAAGATCTTGTTAGTTGAAGACATTTCTCTAAGTGTAATGCCAGTCCAAAAATCTTGTAGCATTTCAGTTTTAAAATAATGTCAACACGATGAACACTAAAATTCTTTTTAATGTAAATTGATGAAGTGTCAGGGATGTGATAGATGAATTTTCTCAAAAAACCTATCCTTTCATCAGGCATTTTACTTCATGCATAACAGCACAGTGCATTGGCCCAACAGCTGGCCTGATGCTAGCAGAGAAGGATGGAAATCTTGGTGGTTAGAAGTATGACTCTTTTTGAAGCTTTTCAGACAATTTTGCTCACCTTACCAAATGCCTAGGTGAATGTGGTTCGTGGAGAATTTATCGTCTCCACCAGAGGCACCGATCCTTCTGGAATCCAACAGTCTTAGTAATGATGGGAATCTTTAAAAAATACATATCGCACGGCATTTACTTCAGTGCAACAACAAAAAGCCCTCTAATTTTGCAGTCAAGTATTCTACCACTATAGCTGTAGCCCTCCTCCTCCCCAATTGTGTTAAAAGCTCTATCCCTTTGTGATTTTTTTGCATGCCATTGAGATTCCTAGTTCATAGTAAACTTTTAAACATCTCAATGTTAACTTAAGGAAACCCACTCCAGTGGGTTTTTAATCTTATCATTTTTATGCCCGGCCACCTTTTATTAATGAACCCCTTGGGCATCTCAGAGGATAGGGACCGAAAACATGATTCTCCTGACTTGTGCTTCTAACACCCACTGGCAGAAACCATTTGGTCAAGAGGGTGTTAGACACATGGTGTATAATTAACACCATAGTATCAGGAACATTCAATTAAAAAAAAATGGGGCAACATTAGTTTTTAACACTGTATGTGATTCAGAGATATAGGATCATACCTCTTCTTACGTGTTTCCATTTCCATGTTCCCCCTCCCACCGCCAGGAGCCCACCCTCCCCCATCATTGTTGATTACCCCTCCACCCCCCGCCTTTGCTCTCCCACTCAGGTACCCTTAATTCTATAGACAGATTTCTAACATTTGTTACTGGTTTGGTTTTTATTGACCCTTTGCTTCTACATATTCCATAATTAAGTGAAACCATCTGGTATTCCTCCTTTATTGCTCCTGACTTATTTGGCTTAGCATTTTCCAAATCTTTAAATAATTCTCTTTGGTATGAATACTTTTATGATTTTAGCCTTGTATTGACAATAAAAAGACAGTTTATTGATGCAGAACTAACTCATGCCTTTAGTTGCAGATTGCTTAACAAGGATAAGTGTGCACTGCATTTAAGAATTTTTGACTCAGCACTTAGAACCTATCAATAAGAAATAATGCTATTGCCTGTGACAATGAGCCTACTGTTTCTCAGAGGTTTTCAAGAAAAGCTGAGCTACTTGTCAGAGACATTGTATAGAAAAGACACATAAATTGGGTAATCTTCTTATTTTCCAAATCTGTGACTACATGCTTCTTTGAAAATCACTCACACTAGTATAAACCTCACCTAACCTCTCTGGTTAATAAGGTCCATGCAGAATACAGCATTCCAAAGTTTGCAAAAAATTTAGCAATGTGTGTTCTGGATCTGAAACTATATATCAGTCAAAATTACCTGGTTGGGACAGAACTTTCTTATTTTCACTTTCAGATGACACAATCATTAACTTTTCCACAATCATTAACATTTCCAATATTTGTCTTTAACCCCCCCCCCACTTTTGCTTTGGAAGACCTATGGAGGTTAGTTATAGGTTACGAAAACTTAGTATTTTGTTTGTGGTCTCCAGTAAAACTCTTTCAGCATGCATCATTTATCTTACTCTCCCATTTGGCCTTATTTCATTTACGCACCTCATGTCTCATTTTCTGTGAGAAGATTTCAGTTTCTGAACTTGACTTATGGTCAAAGGAATGACATAGCAAGTTCTTGGATTTGGCCTAAATTGGATGCTGTTTAAGTTTTCCATGGCAGGCCTATTACTGAAGGCTTCTCTCTCTGGAATGTTCTGGGTGTGTGTACTTACTGGCCTTTTTTTCCTCAATTGTAAGCTTGATGTTGGTGTTAAAAATTATTACTTGATATAGATAAAAATAAGCTGTTGTAAATAAAGTTTGTCAGGATGAAGCTAAACATCAAAATTGGGATAAAGTTTGTAGCTTTACATTGAAATTATTTCCCTTTTCCTCTTCCTCCCCCCGACCTCCCCAACTCCCCACTCCCCGAAGATATATTGCAGATGCAAAAAAGTAGGATTAAGAACTGTAAGGAGTAAATCTGTTCACAATGACATATACTGCAGGTGGGTCATGAAAGACTTTCTGTACATCCTTTATTAAAGCAACAATTGGATACAGGATGATCACATGTTTTCTTTTGCTTATTTGCTACAACATCAACTTAAAGATAGTCATTGTTTACATCTTCAAATTATTTTCAAAAAGTGAACATTTATGGTTCACGAAATCACCAGCTTGCCATTTCTGCCCAGATACTTTTTTTTTTCATTGTATTTTCTGATTTTAACAAAGGACATCCAGAACTAGAGATACAGCAACCCAAACATAAATACAAGCATCTTTGATCCTAACTCACTGTAAGCAGCTCTATGGTATCTGAGGGATACATTTACAGGCTTTTATTACTGGTTAAATAAAAATAATTTATGCCAGAATATTCTTAGAACTATTTGCTTTCTATTTTTACATTCTCTAGCATTAGCTCCTTTAAAATGACATGTCTGAAAAAGTTCTTACAGATCATTATCACCATATGAGATTTTCTTGTATGATAAAAACTTGTTTTGGAAAACATATGAAGTAATTCTATCTTGTTTTTTTTTGCCCACTACTGATTTGCTTAATCCAAACCTGGTTAATCACTGTAGAAAACCATAAAAAGTCATTAGGAAAGAGAAGGAAAGTGAATTTCCTACCTACTAAAGGAATTTTAAATGAGTAGGTGAATGTAAAAGTGTCTAAATATCTGGAAGATCACTGGTACTTAAAGTATACAATGAAATTAGGTAGTCGTTTAAAGCGTACTATCAAATCAGCTCAAAAGCAAGAACATAAACAGGGAATATAATCTTAAAGGCGGCCAAAGGTCATGTGGAGATAGGTACAGGATAGAAGTTGAAAGGTGAAAGTATGAAAGAGTATCCTGAAGGTGAGTTAAATGCTCCACGGAAAACACTGTGAGGAAATCCTCAGTGAACAGAACCACGGGTGCCCTCATCTAAGAGTCTTAGCACTGACACAATACTGTGTTTCAATTTGGGAATAAAAGGTGTTTGATCTGCCTTCCTGAAATAGTTCCTCCAGGGGCTGGGATGTGTGTTTCTGTAGTTCAGCTGATTTGTGTTGGCTGCATTTACAAAGCGCCTGTTCAAAAAATGCAAAATATTCTGTACCTGACATTCTTTTCGTGCTGCAGACCTGAGCAAATCCTAGCCCACCAGTAATAACAAGCCAGACATTGCATGTAAAACATGGTAGTCCATAGATAATTTACACAGTGTCGTTCTGTTCTGTCATTCTACCGAGTTACTTGCTCATCTCACATTTGTCAAAGGGACAATTAAACAACATGAACATCTACAATGAAAAATGAAACAAATACTAAAATATACATGTGAAGAAAGGAAGGGGATTTCAGAACTCATTATGTGGGGTGTCAGGTCATTTCACCTTACTTTTGAGAGAAAGACAGCTCATAAGCATCTGAGACATGTTGTTCTGGATGTGAAGACACAGCACAACAATGGCTGGGGTTAGGGAGAACATTCAGGAATTTCTAGAGCAATTTCTATACATTATACATCACATTTGGTTCCTAGATATTTTAGTCAAGTATTAGTATTTCTTTTTGCCAAGTATGATCTACAAAAAGATGAGAATAGATGTGCCCTAAAGATATGAAAATATAATATATAAAACAAAACTGTTATAAATTACATAGCTTTTCAGTATAAAATTGTTTTTTTCCTTTTAGAATAAATACCATCCAAGTTTACATCATCTAAGTGACTTAAATATGCACACATGGATAGCTAAATCATTTTCAGGATTTCAAGAAAAACAATTTGCTAGAGGTATGACCAGATGACTCAGAAACCAGAAAGTGTTTCGATTTTGAGAATGACCCTGTAACCCCAAAGGACCAGGCTTGGGATTTAGTGTTAAGCTTTTAAAACTGCCCAAATGAGTCTGATGTGTGCATGCACACGCATGTGCAGCCACATGCCTATGCATTTCTATGTAGCTGAACAGTTCACCTTGAAAAACCAGCTGAAAGTCATGAGGTCCTTTGCATTTTCTATTCTAGCAGAAGCACCTTTCTTGTGTAGTAAAGAAGCTGTAGGAGGGATAAGAAGAGTGTAGAATTTTGAAGGAGAACTCTCTATTTTGGGTTGGTTATTATAATATCAGTAGTTTTTGATGCCTTCATGAGGGGAAAAGTTTCAAAAATCTATCTAATCCCTCCCCACTGTAGTCTAAAGAAGTCAAAACCAATCTGGAAGCATTCTTGGGTCATGCATTTCTGCTTCTGCCTCATAAAAAAACCTGCCACCCTAAAATTTTATTTCTAGTCCATATCTAGACAGATGTCTTGTGTAGTTCTGTACATGGGTGTGAATATCAGAACTGAACAGAATGGGGAAAACTCCACACACTATCACAAAATGCTCTTACATCTCTATTGTTGCTCTAGGTATAAAAACCAGTGGTAAGAATTTGTTGACCTTTGTGACAAGTGGATAATATTTATAAACTAAGAGTTGAAGATAAAACTTTTCTGCAACTCAGATACAGAAATCCGAACCCAGAGATCCAAACAGAGACAAGGTCTCTCTTGATTGCTTTAATTTCTTTATGTGACCACCCAAGACAATTCTAACCAGATTCTGACAGTTCATTCCTGTACAGGCATAGCTCATTTTCTTGTGCTTCATAGATACTGCATTTTTTTTTTAAATGAAGGTTTATGGCAACCCTGCATCCAGTGAATCTATTGATGCCATTTCCCCAACATTATATAATCACTCATGTCTGTCATATTTTTAACTAAGGTTTGTAGTTTTGGGACATGATGCTACAGCACACTTAAAGCAGACCACAATTATGAAAACATCCTTTTTAATAAATCAGGAATGTGAACATTTCTGTGACCAGTTTTAATGTGAAATTCTCTTTTGAGTGGTGGTCTAGAACTGAACACACAATATCTGAGGTCTGCCTGTACCAGAGATGACTAGTCCAGACTCAGGTCTCATCAGGATGCTTTCCACCCCAGCTATCTAGACACAAAGTCACCCCTAAAGCCAAACCATGGCCTTCAGCGATGGCCTTCATTTGCTCTCAAGTGTGGGCAGCAAAGCTTCAAATCTCATGTGCCTGTATTTGCATCCAATACTGCTTATCTCATGCAATGGGGCCTTCATGCAAGATTAAAAAATTTCCATCAAACTATAAATATTGGCTCAAGAGGGGATCTAGTGACACCTCTACCCCACCAAGTACAATTTTGATATTTTGCAAGTAAAATGCAAAATTCACTTGGGTGAGAGTTGCCCAAAGTGACTGATCCAGACAGTGGCAGAGTGAGAACTAAATATTCAGGTCAAGTGTCTCATCACTGACAGGCCCAGATAACTACTAGATACCCTTGTAACTACTTCAGGCTATTTCCCCCCTGCTCATAAGTGAAAATAACACACTCACTCACCATGATGGAATCTAGAATGTAGAAGTGATCCTATTGGGGAGGAAGAACCATAATTTAAAATGCTCTGGTTTTTTAACATGGATCCTCTTTATTTGGGTCAGTGATGCAGCATATACATGTCAGGTGAATTCAGTGATGACAGAGGAAATCTTGAAGGTGACTGACTGAGAAGAACTGGGGTGACAATATTGGTTTGGTTTCATGAGAGAGTGAGACCAGTGAAGTGGCACTCAAAACTCACCGGGTCTACTCCCTGTGACAGATAGGGAAACTGAGACCCAGATGTGCCCCAACCAGGCAGCTGGCTGTTGGCACAGTCAGGCATGGTGCTGGCCTTTGGACGACTAGTTTTATCTTCTTTCTATAACATTATTCTGCAATGCATTAACTGCTTTTTTGTGAGACTCAATAATAATTCAAGGATTTTGGAATGGAATTTGGCAGTACAGCTCCCTTTGCCATTGTTCTAACTTTTCACTCTTCCCCTCCTATGACTTACAAGTTGGCTGTGCAGTATACAAAAGAGGATCTGGTTGCATGACTTCACAGAGCCTCATATTTGCTGCCTCAAATAAAGTATTTGAATCACCTAAGGCTTATGGTCCCTGCAAACCTGCTGGGATAATAATATTCTACCTATAAGAATTCATCAGATGCTTCTCTCTTTGGAAAGTAGGGTTTTCCAGATAGAGAAACAGTCCTTGGAGGATAATGTTACTTAAACGTAAACAAGTTTTTATGGTAGGGCAGGATTTATTCAGCCTTTTACAATCTCCTCTCCGTGGCTGAGCTCACCAAAAGGTTCTCAGAATTGGACAGGTAAACACATTTTCATTTGGCTATTAAAGTGCTATTCCTGGGCAAAAATTTTCTCAATTTCACAAGAGCAGCTTTATTGGAAACAACAAAAGCAATGTATGAAAACAGGTCTGGGAAGTGAAAAAAAAAAAAAAAGAGTCTACTAACTACTTTGGAACATTACAAATGACTTGTAGGTGTCAGCCACAGTCTGGGCGGCTGATACCAAAGCCCAAGAGGTAAATGATCTAGGGAAAAATGAGGACAAAGTGGCAAAGAGGACTAAACCAGGAAGAGCAATGAGTGTTAAACAACTACTCCATTTTAAAGGAACAGTAGCAAGTCATTAAAACTGAGAAGAAAGTGCAATAAACCCATGTACGTGCATTTGCTATTTCAGTGGACCTATAATTGTTCAAAAGAAAAGCAATGCAGTGTGCACTGGACAGGACTATCCTGAGGCTCAGGGACTCAAGACTATCTCACAGCGGTGTATTCTTTGCCAAACCGGCATCACCAATAAGACACTTGGCTGAGAATAGCCTCTCAAATTCGTATCACCTGGACAGACGCCTTCTGTCCCAGCTTATGGATTCTGCACCCTGCTGTTGCTGCCTCCTCCTCTACTGGGGACCTTCCAGTCACATACACTGCGGCGATGTTTCCCCTCTTAGGATGGATCACTCCAGCCTAAGGGATGAGCGTCTCCTGGTAAGGCTTAGTGGCAAGTGCGACTACTTCGGTACTACAAGGAGCAGCCCCTGATTTTCTTGATATGCATAGCTTTTCAGAGTTGATATTAGACATGGCTTTCATAAATAATGCAGGTGTTTTTGTCAGGAGCCACCGTTGGGTCTGGAGTTTCCAGGGGGGCTGACGGCAGGCCTCTTGCTGACCCCTCCACCGGCGTGGGCTCTTCAGACGTCAGCTCCGTGGATGTCACGTCGGTGGAGGGCTCCCCAGAGTCGGGGGACCGCTCAGCGGACGGTTCCGTCTCCTCTCCGTCTTTGACTTCGGGTTGAACAGCCGCCTGGTCATCCATGTGATCCTTTTTGGCCTGGGGGTGAATGGACACCTTGATGGCGATCTGTTGCGGCTGTTCGTGCAGCGACGAGGTGTCCGAATCCGCGGTTGGGGAGTCGCTGCGCTGCAGAGAGTTGGGAATGGTGTAAACCTCATCCCGGCCCGCGGCCTCCTGGCCTTCCGGCGTGTGCCGCACAAAGTTCTGGCCCTGCTCCTCCAGCCCCACTACTTCCATGATCTCCTCCATGATAGTCCTGCAGTTCATAATGAGCGGCGGCAGAGGCACGCTCCGGGCAAGCTCTTCGATATAGCGGGCAAACTCCATGGTTTTGAATTGAGTGACTTTGGCAAGCTCTAGAGTTTTGGCTGAGGTGATGATGGGGATGCGCTTGGCGATCTCAAAGGCCTTCTGCAGCTTCTCTGCGCCTTCTGTCCTAAAGAACTCGTTGATGGCTTTCTCCGTCTTCTTCAGGTGGCTGCTCATCATGCACAGGCGTGTGATGTTGAGGACCATGACCACGGTGAAGGCCACGAGGCAGACCACCATGTAGTACACGCCCATGTCTCCAGAGGTGAAGATGACTCTCAGGGTCACCGTGTTGTTCACAGTGCCATAGACATTAGAAGCCACACACGTGTATTTACCTCGGTCTGAGAAAGACACCGTGGTGATGTTCAGGAGGCCGCTGGCATGCATCTGCCATTTTCCTGTGGGACAGGAGAGAGAATTCAAACACTGCACTACAAACTGGCACATCACAGACATGTATTACATGCCACCACTGAGAGTGTGTCCTCAAGATGCTTACTACGGGAGAGTGCATTAACTCAATGAATCTCCACTACCCTGAGGTTGGTAGTGATGCCTGCCCCATTTTACAGCATGAGGAAACTGAGACACAGATTAAATTACCTTTCCAAGGTCACCAGTGGTGACCTTGAAGTAGTGGAAACAGAAGATGAGCTTATTAAGCTCATGAGGTTGATGAGGTTGTGCTTTTTTTTTTTTACAAGATTGTACTTTCAACCACCAAACCTTACGGAATAGTTGCACATCCTGGTGAAAACCAGTCATTGGAAACTACTGTGTTCTCACTAAAGAATTCCTTAACTTCAGCCTGACTTCCTGATGTGTCCTTGAGCATGACCCTGTGGTACAGAGCTCTGTTAGCTGGGAAACTGATATATGGTATTTTAGGATCAATGCAAAATCTATAGTAAATCAAATTGTAATTGTTTACCTGGACTTCTCATATTTGTGATTGAAGTTACTCTTGTATGGTCTGTAAGTTAAGGAAACCATAACTTATGCATTAACCATACTAAAGTTACCAGCTAACAATGTGAAGATTCTGAGGCTCAGTTTGAACAGATATCACTTTGCTTTAGCCTTGTAGATAAGTTGCACAATGCACCAAGCAGGAAATAAGGACCACATGATGGGAATGCATGCTGATAAATGCAATTCTTCCTTCCTAACCTGGGGGGTAGGGGGTGGGCTTTGCCCTGGGAATGAGGTTCTGAAACTGGTGAATCTGATTGTATTTCTTCATTTGCCTGTCAACTCACAGGTCAGAGGTCCCGGGGAAACAGAGCAGGCTTGACTTCCAGGTCTTGGATCCAAGCCTTTCTGAAATCATAGTACCTCCTGAACTTCTCAAGAGGAAGGAGGGTGCAGGCCTCCAGAAAGTGTAAGGAGTAGACAGATATTTTTCCATCCAAGCACTCCAGAAAGCCAACTCAAGAAACCTCTTCTGAGAACTGGGGCAATTTAGCAAGCCATTTGCTCCCTTTTAAGTAACTATCCATGCATTATATTCCCCTGTTCCCCCTTTCTGGCAGTGACTTTTAATTATAATTAAAAGTCTGGTAGCTCCCTGAGCAACAAGCACCATCTTAAAAAATCTTCTGAGCACATAAGTGAACAGGATCTCAGTGGACAGTGGAAGGAGGCAACAGATGGCCACCTGTATTCCAGAGTCTTTGCCCCAAGGAAGGTTCCTAAGGAAACTAGATGGAGCAGGAGGTGTCTTCTCAGGACTGCCGTCCCTCTTTGCTGCCATGGCGAGTCTGGCAGGATGCTTCTTGTAGACACTGTCACATTACTTGGCCTTCTGAAAGAACATCTGTGAAGAGAGGTTCCTGGTATCCCTGAGTAACCCTTTTCTAACAATTCAGCTAGTGTCTTTTCCCAAAGAGCTGAAAACACTAGTTTGGAAAAATCTAGTGAGTTTTCAGTCTCTTGTGAATGTGCATGAATGGACAAATGTACTATAGGTCTGTGAAGTGTTCTCTCATTCAGATGGAACTGGGCAAGCCTTCCACCCCTTTTACCTCCCAGACATGAATTTTGATGCTTCAACTGCAGATTTATTTGAAGACAGTGAATTGAATAAAGGGAAATGATCAATTTATTATTATTTTTTTAAATTTAGATGTTGCACAAACGTGGGATATAGCAGGCAAATGTGGGGGGAACATTCTAGTTGAAAGCATCCATCTATCCATCTCTCTCTCTCTCTCTCTCTCTCTATCTGTGGTACTAAGTTCTTAAGACTTACAGACTGTAATTGTAGTTATTCTCCTCCCTATCTTGGAACGTATAGCAAGAAATAGAATGGAAGAGGGTGAGAAAGTGAGCTTATCTGTCTGAAGTATGGTTAGGATCAATTTGTTCACCTCCTAATCCCCTACTGCCACTCTTTTTATAAGGAATTACCTGTAAATACACGGACAGAGAAGTCTGAACCTGGGAATACAAGAAGAGAACTAAACTAAGAAGGTAGGAATCTGATGATGATATAAACAGCTTTAGCCTCACACCCAAACCATAATCTAACTATTTATGATTGTATTAAAATAATTACAGAAAAATGAAATACCTTTACAAAATATCAGTGCTTTACTGGCTATTTAAAAATGTTTCTGAGCTTGAATATTATGGTTATTTTCAGAACACTTTAAATTTTCTATTGAGATACATACATATCCTGGTCCCAGACAATTCAATTCAGATAGCAACTTAAGAACTTCAAGCTGAGACCCTATACTGCCAAAAGGGGCACAGTTTGGAATCAGACACCATCTAATCAGGTGACACTGGTTCGCATGGGGGTTACTTGTAACATGTTCTGCAGATAAGTGAAAACTTAGCAGCATGTTCTACTTCTTAGCCCAGGACAATGGGTCCTCAGACTGACATTTTTTTTGTCTTATTTACCTAATATTTACATAATGTGTTCTTTTAAGCCCACCAAGTATCTGCAAAGTGACTTACACTTGCTTAACTACAGCATGACAAATAGGAATCCATAGGTTATGATCCTAAAGCAGATGGGTTTTCACCTATAACATGTACTGCAATATCCAAGTTCAGTGACTGAGACCATCTCTCTGCCAGCAATTTCCTGTTTCTGGTCTATGACCTGCACATCAAGACATCTTTTACTCCCAGTCTTTTCCTAGATTCTTCTTGAAACAAACATCATATTTATTTTTTGCATTAGGGAAGATTAATGCCACTTGGATTTCTTCTCTGATATAAGATAAATATGTGATCTGGATTAAGCATTCTACTACAAAGACATAAAGCAAAGTCTTTGGCAAGCTAATACACACACACACACACACACACACACAATAATGTCAGAGGAGCTAATATTCAAATGGCAAGAGTAATGACATGCCCGTATCTCTTGTGTATATATATATGTGTATATATATATATATATGTGTATATATATATATATATATATATATATATATATATATATATACACACACACACACACACACACATAAATGTATATGTATATATACATATGTACCTTCCTCCCCAGGAACCAAACTTTTACTCCCCAGGAATCAAACTTTTACTTTCTGTCAGTCTCAGCTCAACTTTTGTTCAAGGAAAAATAAAATTTAGTGTAGGTTCTACCACAACATGCAGACTTGAAAAAAACATAAAGCTCTCACAGATTCTACTTCAGAGTTGGTCCTCCCTGATCTGCTTAAGACCCAGGCTCATGAGTATTCTCCACACACTACCGGCTGCCCAGCTGGGAGCAACCTGAGAACAGTTTCTGGGCTGCATGTTACCGTTCACCCCTGTCTATAAATACACTACCCCTAGACTCATTCTGGCAGAGTCCCCACTTTAGCTGTCAGAAAGTTAAAGGGACAAAAATACCTTCAAAGACTTTCATGGGAAACTTTCAATGCCACACAAAGCAGAGACACACTTACGCTCCCATGGATTTTGTAGGAATGGCAGAGTTACATGCTTGCTGAATTTTCAGTTAGCTGCTCTACTTTAGCACAAATAAAACCTAAAATGTCAGCAGCTGATACCAAGTCAATTCAACATGCAATGGTTTGGGAATGAAAAGAGGCAGCTAATTAACCATTACTTTCTGAGTATGAGAGGGAAAATGACACGTAAAACACTCCATCACACTCTCCAAGACCATTCTGTTACTCACATCCTGGGTCTCGCTAATGTTGGACCCTTCACCCCTTCCACCCCCAACCTTGGAGTGACCTCCCCCACACCTCCTTTTCCCACCGTGGACTCATAAGGTGGCAACATATCTTTGGGCTTAAATACTGACACCTACATGAGGAGGTGGGCTGCTGCATCTCTGCTGGAGGCTCCATTTTGTTAGAGTCCAGAGATCTGTCAACCTTCCCCAAGAAACTCCAGGCCCAAGGATCACACCTGTTATGATCCAGTTATCCCACTTCTGGGTACTTACCCCCGAAATACAATAAAACACTAACTTGAGAGCCGTGTTCAATATAGCATTACTTACAATAGCTGTGAGCTAGAAACAACCTAAGTGCCCACTGACAGGTGATCAGATAAAGATAGGATAAACACAGGGGACTATTACTTAGTTCTGTAAAAAAGATGAAATTCTGCCATTTTCAACAAAGATGGACCTAGAGGCCATTAGGCTTAGTGAAGTAAGTCAGATGGAGAAATATTCACATGGTATGATGTCACTCAAAGCAAACAGGAGCTAAATAAAAACAAAACAAAACAAGCCCCCTTTTGACCAACTACTGACTACCAGAAGGGAGGGGGAAGGGTCTTGGGTAGACTGGGTAAAAGGGGTCAACTGAACTTTTGAAGGGTAATTGGATTTTCAGTGAACTTAATGTAGTATATATACATACTGATCTTTAATGATGTCTCCAGAAACATAGTTATAATGTTACTTCATGTAAATGAAAAAAAGTCTAATGTGAACAGCTTCCATGTGTTAGAATAGCATGGTGGTTGACAGGCTCTCTTGCAAAAAGAGAAGCTGTGGATGTCATGTTTCAGTTATGTTGCAGTGTGTGTGCTGTGCTGAAAACAAAGCTGATGTGTTAGAAGGGCAGTGATCTTTTTTAAGATAGTCTTGTTCGTGCATTCAGTGAACAAATATCGCTGAATAAATTGTCTGTATACCGAGTTCTGTGCTAAACTAGGTGAATACTAAGATGAATAAAATGTAATCACTGACTGCAAAAATTGCCCAGTCCAAAGAGGTACAGAGAGTCTTATCACCTCCCCTGTGGCATCACACAGCTCATAGACGGGGGATGAGGACAGTGAGGTGGGCTTCTGAGAGAGCTGCAGCCCTGAACCAGGTCAGGCTGGGGTGGTTCAGGCAGGAGGAAGCTTGGGAGCAAGACATCCTGCTTTTATGGACAGAGGGGTG